TCAGCCTTTCATCTAAGTCTTTGGGACTCTTTTTTGTTGGTTGAAACTTTTTTTCCAATTTATTTTAATGTGGAATTCTTTGGCATAATCGATGCCAGAAATAAAACCCATGGATTTTACTCCCAAGACTAAACTTTCCTCAGAAGACCTCCCACTTTTATTTTTAACATCCTTGGTTGCATTCACCTTTATTTGAATAGAAATTTCTCACCCCCTACACAGCCATTGGCAAGGATTGCCGCCTCTGTCTACCTAAGCTTTGACCCTCAAATTCATTTCAAATGAGTTCCTTGAAAGAGATTAAAATAGAGTCCTAATGCTGGGAAAGCTGAAGGGAGTTAAGATCACGATTCAGATATTGGCTGTTACTTTTCCTGGGATTCTGTTCTGGAGAATGTATCTACACTGCTGAGTAAGTGAGAGTGTGGAGTGAGAACAGCGGGAGGACCCAAACGGAGATGAATCGGAGGCGGAGGTATGCTTCAGAGATGTCAATATGCTGCCTCGGAACACTCCAAAATTGCCTTCCTCCTCCCAGCCCTTCTAATTCTACTCTCTTAAGTATTAATTAGCAAATGAACCAATCCAAAACCACTTAAATGTTGGCTATTTACACACTCAGTTTTGAAGAAAAGTTTGATTAAATTACTTTGCAAGAAAAAGTACAGAGGTGCCAACATTCTTACTTCATTAATTTATATTTAATAAGATAAAGAAAAATGAATTGTCTTTACATTCACCCTCCTCCTACACACACCACGCTTCATTCTTTCTCCTGAATTTGTATGGGATTAGTAAAAAGGAAAGAATTTTCATGGAAAAGTTATTACTATAATGTGTTGATTGTTACATTAATTCTCCCACCTCCCTCCCAGCTCTATTGCTTGGGAGGAATTTTGGACTTTACTCAGGAACCGCTTAGTGAGCTTGTCGGTGGATGGGATTAGTTTAATCTCTCACAGGCCTCTAAGCACTGAAAGAGGTTGTCGTGGACAAGGAGCAGTGGTCAAATGGGGAGGGCAATGAGCAAGGAAAGAAAGGTTGCTGATGACCAATGCCAAAGTTTATTTTGTCTCAGAACTAAGTCTGAATAGTGATGAGGAGGGAGGGATAAGAAGGAGATGCCAGGCCTGGTGAAGAATACAAGTGTTTGGTGAGGATGGGTGGTGATGATCTCTTCATGATTTCATTGTGCTTGGACTGCTCCCAAGCCCTGGGAGCAGGGCACAAATGAGAGGGAATGAAGCAGGCTTGGTGATGATCAGAATCCACAATTAAAGGACACCAAGCAAAGGAGAAATAAAAAGGAACAATTTCTGGATATGAAGAGAGTGGGTGGGGACAGAAGAATTTGACCCTTGTTATGGTGGACCTTACTCATCACAAGGATAATAGTGGTGACTAGAGTAAGATATTAATACAGGGAATTCCTAACTTTTTCTTCCTCCTTGATCAAGATATTTTGAGAATCTAAATAAGTTGGACTAGATGAGTTTTACGACACAAAATGTAAGAATTTTATAAACTCTACTGTGGCAGAGAAATACAAAGAATTGAGTTGTTATCATTATCTTTGAAATATTTGAATGTATAAGGCAAATTTGATTTATATGTTGGGGCATGATACATTCATTTTATTTTTAAAAAGCCAGTATATACCCTTATTATCTCAAATTATGCATAATGAAATTGTATTGCTGAAGAAAGTACGCTTCTCCATATGCTTTTATAGACAATGTGGATAATTTTTTAAAATATATTTTTCCACTCTGAAATACTCAGTTTTGAACCCAAGTAACAACAAGTATAGCATCCATCACTTGATGTTAGGGCCACACTCTGAGAGAGATGTATTCAGGGGATTTTGTTGTTGTGAAAACATCATAAGATGTGTTTATAGAAACCTAGAGGTTGTAGGTCAATCATTAGACATGAACTTTTTTTTTTTTTTGGCAAGTGTAAAATTTTTATTATTGAAAGATAACTTTATTAAAATCAAACAAAACCAGAAAGATAAACTAATTTAGTGGATCTGACCACCTTATGCAATAAATAAATGCATTAAATACAAGATGCTGCTGCCACTGTAACATGTCACACTGGTTTACAGTAAACATTTTTATCAATAGAAGGAATACATGATTATTATGCTTTTATATGACTGACTGTGTAGTAGGTTTTATTAAGTCAGCATTGCCACACACATGGACATATACATTGTGCTGCAACATTAAGACTGCTACACTGGCCCCCTCCACATGTGTCTTGCTCTCCCCCATGCCAGGGAGCTGGCGTCCTGAACTCTGATGTGCTTGCTGTTTTGAGCTGCCATGAGAGATAGCAGGGAGGGGAGCGCAGTACCAGACTGAGCTCTAAGTATAACAACTGGATTGGTGACAAGTAGGGAGCTTTCACCACTATGCAGGGACCCTCGGACTGGGTCTCTGCTGTACATGAGGTTCTCCTCAGTGCAGTGCTCAGGTGATGAGATATCCACATGCTTGTTTACTTATAGCTTCAGATCTCTGCTCACATGCCATTTCATCAGAGAGATCTATCTTGATTATCATCTTTAGAAGAGTGAACTTGCCTGCTTTCATTTCTACATGGAATTCCAATCATGTATCATTGACATATAGTAACTCCACAGCATGTGGCTTCATGGGCTGCCCTAAAGTGCCAAGGAGCAGAGCTGCCCCCAGCACCAAGGAGGTGAGCCATGTGGGCACCAGCAGAATACATCCCTCCCCTCCACCCCCACCGCCTTGTTGAAATGAGAAGACAGGAAAACAAGGTTCAAAACCAGACATCCAGATCACCTAAAGCAACCCCAAAGGGAAATGAGATGGAACAATCTGATACTCAACCACCTGGATGCCCTGAACTGGCAACAAAAGAGGATCTGGAAAAAATGAAATCAGAAATAATTTCTCAGATAAGAGCAGATATTATGCCCATAGTGCAAGGCATGATTAATAAATCTACAGAGGACATAGATTAAAAAAAATAGAAGAGCTGAGGAACATGATGGAATCCCAACATAGGAAACAAATGGAATCCATAAAGCAGATGCAAACAAATTTCCAGGAGATT